GGGGCTGCGCGGGGACCCGCGGCCGGGCTCCTCGGGCACAGACTGGCCAGCCGGGCGCCGGGGCTGAAAAGCCCAGGAAATCCTAAAAAGCGTTGCCCCCGAGAACGCGGGACGCGAGGGGAACAGGCGCCCGCCAGCGGCTTCGGCCGCGGTGTAAACACCGCATCTCTTCCTGTGTGGGGTGAAGTTCCCAGCCCCGTCTCTCTTGGGCAGAGTCGCTCAAGAGAGGTGCATATGGAAAAACTGCAGAATGTAACTTTCGTGTACTGCTTCTCTCGTTTTCTACTTGGGATGCTGTAATTCTGCTTAAAAATGTCTTCTGTAACTTCTAGATCTACACTGAGACAGCTGCTGATGGTAGAGACCAGCTGTGTTATAATGCTTACTGGATTTCGGAGGGTGCCTGATACACTTAAAGTTGTCTGCTGCACGTGCAGTCTACTAAAAGTGTAAAAACATTTATTAATGCAATGAAAGGTAAAAGGCGTCTTTGGCATTAATGGTGATTCTAGTTATCATTGCTAAGTTTAGTAGTGTCTGACTTCGCAGCGTAGAAAAAAGTCCTCTTTTCCCAGTCCTTCCTCCCTGGTGCTTATGTGTTAGAAGCAGTCATGTCTTGTTTCTGGGGGGTATCTTTGACAGATTTCAATAATTTAGTGTGAGCTGTCATGCTATGCCTATAATGCCAGGCAGAGAAACTCTTTTAAGCCCCTATAACGTAAACATACTTCTCAGGCTTTCCTTATGTGTTGTTGTCTGTGTGGCCCACTATGTATGTGCATGTGTTTTGCTTTTCAAGAGGGTGAGCGCAGTTCTTTTCTTCTAAAGGTTACCTTCAGTAATGCAATGTTTCACTTAAACTACAGATGTGCACCCTTGGGAGGATGTTCGTGGAGTATATACTGGGGGTAGTGAGGTCTGGAAGGCTTTATCAACTATCCCCAAGATACCATGCTGCTACTAGAAAGCCGATATTTGTACAAATACTGGGCAGGGGCATCCTAGTCATTCTAGTCTTGAAATTTGAGTGCTGTCTGCTAGGCATAAGACCAACAGCCAAGGTGCTGAAAGTTTTTATACGGTTGGAGGTCTATCTACTTTAGTACTTACAGTGTTCCTGGTAACTTCCAACTTTAACACACATTGAGGAATTTATTCCATAGAAGTTCTCCAGAGCAGACAAATGTAAGAATTGATTGAGAATAAGTAAAATGGAAATAAAATAAAATATCTAAACTAAGCATCTCAGAGAAAAGTTTTTGAATATTTGTACTTTTGAATAACCATAACTCCTTTACTGTTACTCTATATAAAGCAAAATTGTGACAGGTACAGCATCCTCAATGATAATGTGAAAGGCAAAGTATGTAATAGTGGAAGGCTAGACAGGTGATGAGCTTCGAGTAATGCTTAGTGTCTTTCTGTTACCTTGTCTGCTATGGCTTCTCTCTTTTTGGTGTTTCCACCTATCCTGGCTCATTTTAAACCTAGACTGCAAGCGTCCCGAGCAAGAATTGTGTTTGCAGAACAGCTAGTGTCATGGGGTCACGGGTGGTTAGTGCAGAGGGGGTCTATTTCAGTACACATAATACATCACTAAGGATTATAACAGGTCCTTTGGAAATACAGGAGGGCAACTGCATTTCAGATGTTTATTTGAAATTGTGTATCCACATAAAGTAGAATATCCTCCTATCAAAGATTCTTAAGACCTAGGTATTACAGAAGGAAGTCCTGGCAAACTCTTCGGTCATAGGGAATAGTTGCTGGTTTATGTGGCCTTTGAGCCCATTGGTTTTGGGTTTTTTTTGTCCCCTTTTTCTTGAAATTTGTTCTCTTCTAATTTTTAGAACCCTAAATACAACAACTTCTTGGAGAAGTTATTTTTGTGGCTCTGAGAAAGTTTGAATTAAGGAATGCAGATGATGTAGCTCCCAACACCTTGCTGCATTTTACCACCATTCACAGTGAAGACTCTGTATGAAAGGATTTTGTAAATCCTGTTTTTTGAGGCTCGCTTTTAATTTGTAGGAGTTCTCATCTTCAAAATGAGCATATTGTGCTATGGGGTTGCCACTGTAATGTACAGTTAAAATAATTG